GTTCATAAATATTTTCAGTTAGAGAAATTCAAACAGTTGTTAATCAAATATCACTTTAAACATTATTTACAATTGCATCCCTTCATTGTGATTTTCAATTAATTACATTTTGTATTGTTGTTTTATTATATTTATTTCATTCTTTATAACATTAATAAGATTATTATAATTAATTGAAATTGTTTTTGATACAAAGAATAACAGTACATAACTCACTTTTTGAGTGTTTGTTTTATAGATAATTGAATAAAATCGATAATTTGTTGAATTACATTACTAAATATCAATATAATATCTTCATGATTTATATCATTTCTATATTATTACATTTCTATTTTGAATTAATATGTATATGATGTTAAGTATTTTCAATATCATAATAAAGAATGATGAAATTATTTATTTTTCAATGAAGAATGAAAGAGAAAATAATAAATTAATTAAAATATAATGATAATAGAATAATAAGATATAATGATAGAAAGAGAGATGATCAAAAAAAAAAGAATATTAGAAATAAATAAACATAATATTCATAATAATGATGTAATAAAGAATATAAATAAAAAGAATATAAATAATAAAGAAATAAGAGAGAATATAAATGATGATAGAGTTATTATTTAATAATAATATGAAATAAATAATAGTTATCTTTTTATATAAGAATAAAATTATTTCATTTTATGAATTATTGAAAAATCATACAAAATTAATATTTTATACTTATGAAAACATAAATTATAACATAAATATGAACATTTCATTTATTAATTCATAAATTTTGATTGTTCAATTTTATGAATAGTTAAAAATTAATAAATCATTAAAAATACTCAACATATATCATGGATTTTATCATATTCATTTTTTTTATCATTAATATAATAATTCTATTTATTCTTTACCATTTTATTTCTTATTATCAAAACATTAATTGAATTAACTACTAAAGAGATTATGATTAATAAGAATATGAATAAGTTAAATGATAAGATGATGATAAAAAGATGAAAGAAATAAAATATAAGAAATGATAGTATCTTTATAATGAAGAAATGAGAAAAATGAATAACAATAAGAAATAGATAATAAATAAAAATGAATAAAAAAAGAAATAAATAAGAAATAAGAATAAATAAGAGAATATGATGAATAAAACAATAATCAGATGAAAGAAATAAGAATAAAATGTAAAATGAAAGAATAAAAATGAAAGAAGTGATATAAATAGTACTATTATTATATATATAATTAATATGATATATATCTATATCATAATTGTATTTATATAATTAATTATTTATTCATAATTATAAATATTATATATATAATGAAAATCTAGAAATTATTTCATCTTCATTAAATTTTATTCATCATTAAGAAATTTCAAATTAAATTTCAAAAAATTAAAAGAATATTCATAAAAATATTCAATACAAATTAAACATGTACATAAATATTAATATAATTAATATATTAAATATAAATAATATAAATAATAATAACGAAGATACATTATATAACACCAATCATCGTAAAGAATGATTAATATTTTAATGTCATAAAGAATTAAGTAGTATTGATAAGGGTCACAATAACGAAATATGATTAATCAACAAATTTATTCATTATGATAAAAAAGATAAGAATAATTACAAAAGATGAATAACAAAAAATAAAATTGATAATAATAATAAACAATTATGATTAATTACATAAATAAGAATACTATATTATAATTAAGAATGAAGTGATGACATCAACAGTCACAAAAAATTACCTATATATACTTATTGTAACAATTTATTAGAGTAACAATCGCGCGTAGCGCGATATGGCCCCTGCGGGGCCATTGTTAC